GGAGGAAAGCGCTTGATGTTACTGATTTCCCTCTTGTTATTGCGATACGATATGAGCCCGCGTGGATGTCGTCGCGTGGATTGCGGCTCAAGTTGGGGATCCGGTTCGGCTGACCGCACAGGTTGAGGTTCTTCATTTCGAAATGGACGAGAAAACTGGCGGGCTGGATTCTTTGGCGGTGGCGCATCGACTGGATGCGCTCGGAGTGGATTGAGGCCTGCTGAGGCAGGACGAGATGTCGCTTGGCCGTCAATTGAAGCAGATCGACTGCGCGCTATTGGGGGTGGGGCTGCTTCATCCAGGTCTTCGTCGGACTCGTCAAAATCAAAAGTTCGGTGGTCTCTGTACTGCTTCTGCGCCTCGAGGGCAGCTCTCGGCGAACGACGGATGGCAGGCGGTAGGGCGTCGTCAATGTCCATCGCAGGTTGTGTGAGGTTGGATCATGGCATCTGCAAAAAGGAAAATAGGATGTGAAAATACCCCGATACCCAGCCTTCACGTCCCCGCCCAACCAGCCAAAATACGTTCAATCATGACGCAGAACGGGCTGCCAGAATCCTATGGCGTGGGTTAGCGTGATCGGAGGATGCCTGTACCTTGCATAGCGTTCACGATGGGATCCGTCGACATGTCAGATCAGATCTGGTGTTGAGCATTAGCGCAGATGTAGAGACGCACGCTGATTACAGCTCGTCAGCTTCTATATACGAGTGTCCAGGAATGTGTAGACAGTCTTCCCATCTGCAGAAAGGCCGAATGGGATGCGGAGACGGACGGCAGGAATCCTGTCGATTACGCGGGTGGCTAAGGTTTTCGGCCGTTTTGGCCGTTGGAGACTGGCCAGCCGTGCCAACGGTCTCGCCAGTCACGTGGGCAGGCGGCGTTCTTGCCTGTGCTGGGGAAGGTGTTCGGCGTCACTCGAAGCAGGCGCAAAGTCAAAACGCGTTTCAAGCGCCCAAGACGTGTCAGCAGCGGGCTGGGACATGGATGGGGCGCTGCGGTGGCTCCGAGCTGATCAGTGATGTTTCGACTTGAGCGGGACCTGACAGGCCCAGGCCGCTACGGCCGAAAGGGGCTAGGCGACGACCAACCAACCGCAGGTGGCTCCTTACTTACTTGAGCTTCACGGTCGCTGTGCACGCGAACAGCATGTATGCCACCACCACGACTCTAGCACCCCCGCCGCGCACGACAAGTGCCCGCTCGCCATGAGCAACGACGCGCCCACGCCCATCTCGGACGACGAGGTCGTGGCCCTCACCAAGGCGGCCTTTGAGCACTCCCGCCAGGACATCAACCACCGCGCCGCCGCCGAGACGCCCCGGGAACTGCAGCAGCAGCAGCCCGGCATTACGATTGACCTGGGCCACAAGAACATCGCCCGCCTGCCTGACGAGGTTATCGATGTCATCCGGGCCGAGATTGAAAGGTACACGGCCTTGCCGCCCGCGCCTGCTATGCCTGTAGTCGGCGGTAGAGAAGACCTACTGACCTGTTAGGCTCGCTCTTTCCCACAACCTCCTCTCGACCCTCCCCTCGCGCCTCATCGAATGCAGGCGCCTCCGCTACCTCAACGTGCGCTACAATGCCATGCGCGAGATTCCCAATGCCGTATGTTGGCCCCCGCAGTACCCTCCGCCGGCAAGACCCACTGACACCGCCTCAGATCCTCGAGATGACCTCGCTGGAAATCCTCGACGTGAGCAGGAACAAGATCAGGATCATCCCGCCCAAAATTGCAAACTTGACGTCTTTGAAGGTGCTGGCAATCGCAAAGAACAAGATTGAGGAATTGCCCGTGTGCCTGGGCGAGATCAACAGCTTGCAGGTCCTTAAGCTAGACGGCAACCAGCTGGTCTTCCCCCCGCCCGACGTGTGCACCATCAAGGACAACGCCCCTTCACCCGCAAACGAAAACGAGCGCGATGCCGTCATAGCCACACAAGTCAAACGCTTCATGCGACAACACATTGCAAAGGAGCGCCAGCGGTCCGATTTGGAAAGACTGCGTGTCGAGTCTTCTGGGGACGAGAGCTGGACCGAAAGCAACCCGGAGACACCCCGTCCGTCGAAGCGAGCCAACGGGGGGCGCTTCCCCGTCAGGCCCAGTGTAGGCAACATCGATGGCTTCTCCGACGCGAAGGCAGACTCTCCTGGCCTGCCTGTCCCGCCTATCCCGGTTCGATCCCACTACCGCGTTGGTTCTACAACGAGCAACGGCAATGGCGCGGGCATTGTCGTTTCGAAGAAGCCTCCGGTTTCGCCGCTGGTCTTAACAAACGGGAATAACGAGCGTAATCGAAGTCAGAGTGAGGGTTCAGGGCCTTCGTCGCACCGCCAGAAGCGGATGGGCATATACACCAACAAGACGTCTGAGCTGGGTTCCGTCGACGAGCTGCGGCGGACAAGTCACTTCCGCGGCTTCAGCCAGGGAATCGTTGTTCCTGCTCACTCCGCAGCGAATGGCCTGTCAGGTCCTGCGACCGCTGGTGTCTATGGAGATACCGGTACCGTCAGGTCCCTCGCGAACCGTCCACTATCCGACGTACGAGAACACAGGCGGAACTCGCGTGCGCCGGACATTGTCGTCGAAGCTGCCAAAAACTTCCTCTATGCCATCTCTCAGCTGCACGATTGCGTCTCACACATGGTACGCTCAATCAAGCTGACGGCCAAGACGAAAGAAAGCCTGCGTCGCAAGGAAGACTTCTACCGCAGGTACTCAACTACATACCTGAACATCCGAGCGCTGAACGAGGTTCTGCACAAGTTTGACAGGCTAGTCGAAGAGGACGAAGAAGATGCCCAGAAGCTCTCCCGAAGCGTGTACATGTATGCGCTAAGGTGTCTCGAATCTTTCATGTCCATCAGCCTCTCAATCGCCGAGAACCGCGTCGAGATTACCCAGAATGCAAATGTACACATTATGCGGACTTTCTTGTTTCTCCAGCAAGCAAGCATGATCGAGATGAGGAACGCTTGTTCGATCCTGGGCGCGCAATTCAAGGACACTTCGGTTACTTTGCGCAAGCCCAGCAATCCTGATCCAGTAGCTACAGTGCGCGCACGCCCATCGAGGGTGAATCGTCGATTCCAGGCATCACCGCCCCAGCGCAACGGTGGCTATCAGATGCCTCCGCCAGTCATACTGCACAGCAATGACAACAGTCGATCAAACACTTTGACGAGCATCAGTGCCGCCACGCCGCGTTCCGGAGAGTCGTTCTCAACACTAGCGCCGTCCATGACCCGATCGAACACACTGACCAGCAGTTTCGACGAAGCAGATGAAGATGCTCAATTCGACCGAGTCTATTCGAAACTCAGGAATGCATCCGACAGCTGCAGGCAATCCATGCCACAGATCACACGCATGATGCGAGAACAGTTTGACGGTCTGCGACGCGATCTTGACAACGAGGATCCCCGAATAAAGGCGCTAGCGAACCTCATTGATAAGAGCAATGATGTCCAGCAGATGACAAATCCTCTTGCCGCCCGCCTGTCACAGATGCAGCTCAAAGACAGCTACACTAGGAACCAACCCGAGTTCTGGCAGCAATGCATGGGTTTCATCAGGGTACGTTGATCCATGTCTTGTTTCGAATCGAAGTTTCGCGAACTGGATGTTGACTTACGTTTGTTTCAGGCTTGGCAAGAACTTGCCGCGGCGTATACCCAGCAGGGCCGAGAACACAAGCTGCTCTCTGGAGAGATCAAACAGCTTATGCGGCCACTGCACAAGATGGTTAAGGAAGCCACTCTGGCTATCAACGACAGCCCATGGTCGCATCTCACTAGCAGCAATACGGGGTTGATGGGTCCACCGAGCTTGTCGTCGATTACTTCACGCGTCCAACCACCTAGGTTCATGAAACAACCCAACGGGACGATGTCTTCGAGCGGCGGACCTTCGTTCCCAGGCCCTATCAACACATCTATTCCGGCGATGGCTTCCGTCTTCTCCGCGCAGCCATACTCTAATGCAAGCTTCGGGTCGCAAGGCTCGGGTGGGTACGGCACACCCGTTCCGGCGACACCCCTCAGTGCCGCCCTAGGAGCAGCTGCTCAAGCGACTGTCCCAAACACGCCTCGCGTCTCTCAACCTTCCAACACGCTCAACGTCTTCGAGCGGGCTGATCGCTTGCTCAGCCAGACAAGTCGACGTGTGTGATTCCACAATGCGTGGGCCTAAACTTTTCCATTTTAATGGGCCGTAACGTACTCATGACTTCGCCTACACCAGTCATGCTGAGGCACAGCAACGTAAGTACGTATTCTCTCTTTTACTCTACTGCTTCCTATACTTGTACTTGCCAGAATGATCTTTTTTGCTTTGTATTGCATACTATTAGCGACGGCGTTTGTCCGGATTTCACTCTTTCTTCCTTTGGCAACGGACGGGCATACTCGGGCTTGCATATCGGACATGGTGTTTGAGACAGGTCGGGATCAATCTTTTTTCTATTGCATACTGGGCGTTTTCTTGTCTTTGGTCTTGATGGAGCTGGATGGAAGGTTGCTTTTGATCAAATGGTCGGCTGGAATGATGGATTTGGTCGAGCCTCTGGTTAGGTCGGAATGATATGGCGCACACATACGACACGGGTCTTAATGTCTACAATGAGGGCTGGCTGCCTGGTTCGTGGCAAGAGATGGGTTTCCAGTTCGCTGGCAGAAGTCGTAACGGAATATATGGCGCTAGCTGCCATGACGCTGAGAATGAGAAGCGATTGTTCATGCAGACCAAGTCCCCAATGCAAAAGACAACACGAGAAGGTGTACTCGTAAAGTGAAGAACATCCAGAAGCCGGAACACAGATATTAACAAAATAGAAATATGTGTTAATGATACGTCAACAGCGTTATAGTAGCCAATTTGGAGAACCTCAACGCCGTTCCTGCCTTTATAGATGTAACCCAACCAACGCGACCAGGCGTATACAGTCCAACCCATCCAAGTATACACAACGAATACAACGTCCTCAACTATCCATCCCTCAGAGCCTAACATTCGCACCGATCTTCCCACCCTTGAACCAGATATCTTCTCTCCACTCCCCAATCCTCACACCCACATACGCAAAAGCACTAAGTTTCAACTGCCCACCCAGCGCCCTCTTGATAGCCTCATACCCGAGACTACCAAATGACCAGTCCACGGGCAGGCGAGGTGATTCCGACAGGCCAGGCGGGACAGCAAAAGGCAAGTCGTAGACGATTTTGCCCGCAGTGTGGCCTTCGTAGTAGGCGGTTGCGTCCATGCTGGTGATGTACATGGTTGTGGAGCGAAAGGGGGAGGCGAGGGTGAAGACGGCAGTGCTGGTGATGAGGTGCATGGTGGTGCCGCGGATGAAGTGAGATCTGCCATCATCGTCTGGGTCGGGGTTGGAGCCGTCGTCGGGTTTCTTGGGGGTGGACATGTGCGGCATGGGGCGTTCGATGGGGAATTGCGAGAGGAAGCGGCCGATGAAGGGAACGGCTGGGACAGACTTTTCGTGAGCTTGTACGGTTATCGTCGTGTTATAGCCTGGTGGATGAGTCAGTGATTGGATGCGTGGTGTTGGCAGTTATGGACGTACCTGAGATGTATTGCGAGAGTAGTTCTGCTCCAATCTTCTTGCCCTTGTCACCCCCGTAGGTGTAGGGATCCCATAGGACAGAGGCAAGCTTGTTCGTGTTGTTACCAGGAGAAACCTCCATATCCTTAACCGTCGCACTGCCAATGTGAGAGCCATTGGCTAGGATGTTGATGTTAAAGTAAGGGACCGTAGCAGAGTATTTCGAAGGATTCGTAAAGTTGACGAGGGCCGTGATGGTAAGGGATGTGGGCGAAGTTTCGACAATGGCTAGATTACCAACCTGCACATTGATCTTGCTCGCTTCGTCTTTACCGTCACCGGGCTGAGCGTCTTTGCCGCCACGAATCGCTGAACGCCAAAAGTTAGCTAATTGCAGGAATCGCGGCCAAACTTGGATCACGAACTGGTTACGAACGTTTGACTGGTACGACACCTTGCGCCGGAATGCCTCGCACTGCAAGTTTGCCCATGGGCGTATCCACGCCAACGCTGACTGCAGCCTTGAGGTCCATCAGAATAGATTTACCGCCGAAGAGCAGAGCTTGCACGACTTCACTGAAGAGGTCATCGTCAAGAATCTCGATGGGTGCGTTCTTGATAACGGATTGAACAAGGAGGGAGGGTCCTTCGGAGCCATGACCTTCAATGCGGGTGGAATTTGCCTTTTGCCACTTTTCAAGGTTCATCTTTCCGAGCTTCTTCTTGTGGTAGTAGATATCTGCATCAGCTTTGACTTGGGTGACATCAACGGGGAAGTTCATCTCGTGGGGCAGTCCGATATCGACATTGACGATACCAGAGATCTTGGGACGAGCTTCAGGTGTGCCAGGCTCGGCGAAAGGGTTGGGCAAACTGAAGTGCATGTCGGCAAGAGAGAAGTTTTTGATGAGGCTTCCCATGGACTTTCCGGCAAACGGAACCGGAACGGTAATGTCCTTGAGCAGCTCACGGGCCCAGTCGGGTGTAGCTGGATCAGGGAACTTGCAGCAGTTGATGTAGATGGTCGCGTCTTGGCCCTTCATGTAGTCGCCTAAGAAGGCGTCGAGCGGAGACTTGGCCGAATTGGGGCAGACTTCAGTCATGCGATCTGAGAGCTTGTCGACGTTGCCAGTGACATCGACCTTGACGTCTGAGTTGGGCTTGATTTCGAGTTGCCCAGTCTGAGCGGTTCCCAGCATGATGTGCTTGTCAGATGCCGAGCAGCCCTCAATGCCCACGTCGACAGCTACTGGAGGCAGCGTGATCTGGACAGGGAAGTCGTTCTGCACGACGATAGAGGCGTCGGCACCGAGACCCTTTTGCCCATGCTTGGCCTCGCCGAGGTTGAGTTTCGTAATGTTGTAGTGAGGAAGAGTAGGGATGTCGCCGCTCTGGAAGACCATGGACTGCTCGACAAGCTGCTCGCCAATGTTGATCAATCCAGACTTGAGAGGGACTGAAGCCTTGCCCTTGAGCCTTATCTGCCCCAGTCGGCCATCGATCCAGTCGTTGGCGACGCTGCGGATACCGTCGGGCGAGCCAGGCTGGACGGTCGCAATAAATGAGACGTGAGTCGTGTGGCCGTTCCTGATGTTTACCTTCAAGCCAGGTATCTTGGCCGTGCCAATCAAGACGTTGCCGTACTCGGGCAGGTAGACGTCGGCATCGAAGGGCCCCGTCTCAGCTTCGTGCGCAATCCAGGTGCCGAAGCGGCCGAGGTTGCGCACGCTCTGCTTCTTCACTTTGTTCGCGTCCATGGTAAAGTCGCCTTCTATGTGCACCTTGGCGCCGTGTTCCGTCAGGCCGTCCATGGAAAGCTTGGTGGGCTTGAAGTCGGCGGCCTGCATCGAGTATTCCTCGATGCTCTCCTTGGCGAGGAAGCCGAGCATGATGAAGACGACGAGCAGACATAGCAGGATCAGAGCCAGTATGCTCGGCCATCGCTTCTTCCACAGCGGGACTTTGCCACTGCCGCTCTTATCTGAGGAGCCACTGAGCGAGCGCAGCAACGAGCGTGTCGCGGGCGTGGCTTCCGCGTCGTCTGGTCTTTCGTGCTCATCGCGGTCCTCCTGCGACAGGAGCGGCGTCTGTTCGGTGGTGCGACTCGACTGCTGCGAGCGTGCTGAGCGCGACGAGCGGGCGGACTTGTGCGAGGCCGGGCGCGAACTAGAGTTGCGGGTGTTGGCGGCGGAGCCCCACTGCTCCTCTTCGGGGTTGTCCATCTTCAGACGGAGGGGCGTCCAGGCGAGGGACATGACATGCGGAGAGATGGAGGGGTCGAGGTGAAGGGAAGAAAGGAAACAGGGCGGTTGACGGGTGGTGGAGGGTCTTGTTCATCGTCTCGTCATGAACTCAGCCACTGCCTGGGCCGGATAAGACGCCCAGGAGCGACGTATGCCCGTGCCTGCCGCGGCCGCTAGCCCCGACCCCAGCGTCTCCACAAACATGCGTCACCTTAGTGCGCTTTCACAATAATTCACTGCTGACAGGTTGGTGTGTGTGACTCAATTGCCTGCTGTTGGGACGACATAAATATTTTGGGTTCACTCAGTCTAGCTTCAGATACGCCATTGAAGCAACATGCCCGCTTTCCGTCCCTCGCCCGCTGCTCTGCGGAGCTTGCGCCGCTGCTACTCTACCTCACCAGCGACACCGCAGACATCGCCATTCGCACCTCGACATCTCCTCTCCATAGCAGACCTCACGCCTGCGGAGCTGACCACGCTCGTCCAAAATGCACACCAACATAAGACGACCATCAAGCAGACAGGCGAGGTGCCGCATTCGATGCGCGGGGCATTGGCAGGCAGGACCGTCGCAATGACCTTCAGCAAGCGGAGCACGCGCACGAGGGTATCGACAGAAGGCGCCATCGCGGCATTTGGTGGCTCTCCCATGTTTCTCGGCAAGGACGATATTCAACTTGGTGTACGGTCGTTCCTTTCACATCCCGACTGCCCGCTGACATGGCATCCCAGGTCAACGAGTCTCTCTACGACACCTCGCTCGTCCTCTCCAGCATGACCGCCGCCATCGTAGCCCGCGTAGGCCCTCACTCCGACGTAGCCGACCTCGCAAAGCACTCGAGCGTGCCCGTCATAAACGCCCTATCTGACCTGTACCACCCCCTCCAGATCATCGCCGACCTGCTCACCATGGCCGAGATCTACCCCTCCACATCCTCCACCTCTCTCGGTCTCGAAGGCCTGAAGATTGCATGGATAGGAGACGCCAACAACGTCCTCTTCGATCTAGCCATCGGCGCAACAAAACTCGGCATCGACATCGCCGTCGCAACCCCCGCTGGCTACGAGATCCCCCAAGCCATGCGCGAAGTCATCTCCCACGCTGCGCAAACCTCTCCCCACCCGGGAAAACTGCTCGAGACAAACACACCCGAAGAAGCCATCAAGAACGCCGACATTCTCGTGACAGATACATGGGTGTCTATGGGCCAGGAAGAGGAAACCGCCAAACGCCTCAAAGCCTTTTCGGGCTTCCAGATCACATCCAAGCTGGCGAAACGGGGTGGTGCCAAGGACAACTGGAGCTTCATGCACTGCTTGCCCAGGCATCCTGAGGAGGTTGCCGATGAGGTCTTTTACGGACCCAGGAGTGTTGTGTTCAAGGAGGCGGAGAACAGGTTATGGGCTGCCATCTCCGCGCTGGAAGCGTTCGTAGTAAACAAGGGGAATATTCAGTGACTAGATCCGTGGTTCGAATGAGAGAAAATTATACGAACTTTGATCTTCACATCTACGATGAAAATATACAACTACCCAATCAACTATTCAACTCCATGTCCACCTCACTCCCTCTTCTTCTCCTTCTCCTCGCCAGCCTCCTTCCCTTCTTTACCATTCACTTCATCTCCATCCTTCCTCTCATTTAACCCCTCAACACCCTTTCCCCAAGCCCCAGCCTTCTTCCCCCACGTCATCATGCCCCAAGCATGCGTCCAGCTAAACTTCGGCGGGGCATCGGGATGCGTCCGGAACGGACTCGCACCATGCTTGAACATATCCTCCATTTCCCTCTGTCGGTCTTTTTCCAGCTCATCTCTTGACAGAATCTTCGTATTCGGCGGTAGCGAATCTGGGGCCGGCGCAGGAGTAGCAGCAGGAGCAGGACGAGATGCAACAGCAGAAAAAGGCTTCTCCCAATGTCTCGACTCCACCGGCAACGGTCTCCACCATCCAGTCCCGTCTCCACTCTCCATACCCGTCGCCGATGCAGACGAAGCAGCAGCAAACCTCTCCCACCACTTCTTCGAACACATCTCCCAAATCCTACTCTCGGCCCTCTTAACCGCAAACTTCTCATCCTCACCCGTCAACCCCCCTATATTCGCAAAGTCAGGGCTGCCAGGCCCAAACTTGCGTTCGTCCGTGAACGACGTGCCCGCCTGGCGTGACCGGTTCGGCGGGTCGTCTTCGAGTGCGTCTTCAGCCAGCGTGTCGGAAGAGTAGGAAGAGATGTTTGGTCGGAAGGGCGAGTTGAGATCTTGATAAATTTCGGAATAGGTTTCTGGGTACACGGCGTCGGAGTCTAGGGTTTCTTGGCCTGGTTCGCTGGATGCGGAGGGGATCTTAGCGGGGAAGAAGATTCCGTCCGGGCCGGCGGCTGCAGTGATTATTAGTCTGCAGCGGGCTTCGTACATGGCGTCGAGGAGTGTGATGAAGCGTCGTGCTTCGCTCTTCATTAGCAGACCCATGACTGGCACGTCGGTTACGATGAACGTGTGGTAGGTGGATGCCAGCGTGATGTAGTCTGCGGGGCCGAGAACTGCGCCGCATAGTTCCGCGAAGGTGAAGAATGCTACCCCGTTGTATTGCGCGGGGATCTCTAAGGGCCGGTTGTACACGGTGAGTGTTGCGGGTTCCCAGGGGATGGGGTAGGAGTGGTTGGTTGCGGACTCGACAATGGTGTTGAAAGATTCTCCGAATTCGATCAAGGTTTCGGCCGTGGTGGGCTGGATGAGGTAGTTCTTAGGGAGGTAGGTTGATGGGGTGGTCGAATCTGTTGGTGCGTCGGAGACTTCTGCGGTACCCGTCGCCCCAGCTACTGGAGGTGAAGTTGACGTGGTGCTGGCGAGAGCTTCGGATGCAGGCATCTGCACACTATCCCTCCTCTCCTCCTCTTCCTCTCTCTCAATCTTCCGGTAGTCCTTCTTCCCCTCCATCTCCCAAACCTCGCACCGCGCCCTGAGTACCTCCAAGAACGCGGCGAACTCTCCCATCTGGCCCGCTCCATCGTCTCTGCGCGTATAAGTGCTCTTGCTCATACTCCATCCCAGGCGACTGAGGCGGTTTACTGGGCGTGAAAACTCCATTCCTGCGGCTTTGGCTAGCTCTTCCGGCATACGGTTACTAGTCGCAATAAGGACGCCCCCAAGCTGGAAGAACGACGTCATGAGGTTAGACAAAATCTTGCTAGCCGCACGATCTGGGAGTTGGAATTCGTCCAGGAAGAGGATGGGTGACTTCTCAATGAGGTCGCGTGCGACGAGGAGTAGGGAATACTCATCGTGAGTAGCTCCCGGGCCAGCGACTAGTGATCTCGACATGCGGAGCTGTTCTAGGCGCGAGATGGTGTCGAGCATGAAGGTGTTGAAGTGCCAGCGTCGCTTCTTACGGTTCGGTAGACAGTCTTGGAACAGGTCTATGAGCATGGATTTTCCCGTTCCGACTTCGCCGTGGAGCATGAGGCCCTTTGGACTTTGCAGTTGCATGGCTTCGTCGTGGCTGGTTAGGACGCGCGTCAGTGCTACAGAGTCTCTTTTATCCTTTTGCGCAAGGAGAGATGTCCACACGCCCCTTCTACCGAAGCGGTTGACATGGGTATCCGTTGATGATGATGCATCTTGACCCGCATCGACAGCTCTGGTAAGTTGTTGGAGTCTCTTGGAATACTCTACACTCGGTTCATAGTCAATCAAACGGTCGTAGAGCTTTTGTAAATGTAATGCTGTAATTCATGTTAGTACATCCTCACACTAGTTTCGTCTAAATGGTAGACGTCATACCCAGGCGATGCTGCGCAGGATCAGGTCGGATCTTCTGTGTAGCAATGAGACTGCGATAGAGCACCAAGGGGTTGGTGATGGTAACACCGGTGGAAGGCATTGGTAGTCATTGGTTGGAAGAGTCAAAGTCTATGTGGCATGATGTTTGAGTGTTCGATATGGCCGAGGTGATCTGCCATGACATTGGACTAGACTGCAATCGGCGCTAGCGCTTTTGGGAAGTCCCGATATTTTATCGACGTGGTACGCGGCATTGAACGAAGAGAGGCTGGCAATCAGAACGTGGAAATCGAATATTTGCTATAAACGCCGGCCTGATGCAACATGGTATCGTGCTTGGTATAAGGTTGAATCAAATGCTGGTAACGCCTGGAGACCATGCGTCGGCTATCTTCTTGACTTCTTGTATGAACTTGCGACTTGTGATTTGAGTCGAGCCGATCCTTTGCTCGGCATTTGCTGTGACTGGAGAGTGCTCATCTGGGTCGTAGAACCTACATAGTGGCACCAAAGTCAGTATGCGTCTCAACCGAGCATCGTCCTGGAGTCTTACGGGTTTCTTAACAGCTTGATGTAAGCTGTCTGCAACGCCCTAAACGCCTAATAGATGTTATAAAATGACGGTTATCTCGATAGCTTCAAGCTTACGGGTTTCATATCTGCATCTCGCAGCCCAACGGCAGTCGTATTCTTGCTGTCAAGCGCAGTAGCTGGCCTTCCTTCCATGTCGACCACAATGACAAACTTGACTCCGGTGTTGGTGAGCCATCCATACATTGCTAACCTCTCATCGACGGCCTGGAGAAGGCCAAAGTCTTGATCTGCTGTTTTGTGTGGTAGGCGGGCTTCGAAGATGTCTAGACATGACGAAAGAAGGAACTGGAATTCCAGTGGCGCCCTCTCTTCTGCTGGGAAAAGTGATATGTGAAGAGGGTTGTTCTATCAAAAGGGTTAATTCTATCTAGGTTGGAGATGTATACCACGTGTACTAACATGCTTGCCAATTACGCCGATGCACGCAATGGACGGGACCTGGGACAGTCATCAGCGCATACCCCAAGTCCTTGGAACTTTCACTCTTACCCGGCCTGACATGTTGGAACGATATCACAGGCTTGGATAGGTTTGGTGGATCTGGGAGTATGCGGAGTAGGCTGGCCGACGTAGACCGAAAGGGTGATGGAGGGAGGAGCGATCGCCGGCTAACCTATCAGACGCCACCAAAATCGACGACTAATCGATTTCCGCCAAGCACTTTGCTGCACCTACCTCATCGACACAACTTCGCGACTCCTCGACCGCCACCCCACATCTCGCCTCTCCACTCCTTCCCTCCCGACCTTCCCTTGTGTCTGTCGCAATCATGTTCTCGACAACACGGTCTGCGGCCTCAATGGCTCTGCGAGGTTTGTCCCCGCCACCCCGAAAGCTCGCCGCCGACCGGGACTGACAGTGTGGACAGCCAAACCCGCGACGGCGCTCATGCCCTTCCGCGCCGGAAGCGCTGCTTTCCTCTCGTCGAGCTCTTCGGATAGGGCGACGACCATGAAGACGCCCGCGACGATTCCCGGCAACCCTGGAGCGCCACCACCGATGAAGTCCGCGCGAGTTGAGGTGCCATTGCCGAGTCAGGAGGGAAAGAAGGGTGCTATGCAATACGCATTGTATGTGATATCTTGAAAAGGCCCCGGAGCATGAGACAGGGCGACAGGATGGGATGTACAAAGGCACAGGCTAACGTGCGGCAACAGGACCACCCTCGACCAAGTAGCCAACTGGGCCCGCCAGAGCTCCCTATGGCCCATGACTTTCGGTCTCGCATGCTGCGCCGTCGAGATGATGCACTTGTCCACCCCACGATACGATCAGGATCGTCTCGGTATCATTTTCCGTGCCTCGCCCCGACAGTCGGACGTCATGATTGTAGCCGGAACCCTCACAAACAAGATGGCGCCAGCGCTGCGACAGGTCTACGACCAGATGCCTGACCCACGATGGGTTATTTCCATGGGCAGCTGCGCCAACGGAGGAGGATACTACCACTACAGCTACTCGGTCACAAGAGGATGCGACAGGATCGTGCCAGTAGACATCTACGTACCCGGCTGCCCGCCTACTGCCGAGGCGCTTATGTACGGAATCTTCCAACTGCAGAAGAAGATGAGACATACCAAGATCACCAGGATGTGGTACAGGAAGTAGAGTGTGTTTTGGGATGTGCGGTCTAGTCATTGGTCGTTTTATCTGCGAGTTTTGAGGGAGCAGATTCCTCTTGTACAAATCGATCTTCTATATGCATAGTCTATACCAAGTAAGGTGTGATGGGGTTACGCTGTCTCACCAAGTCCAAACATCTTGATCGAGTTCTTCCATGCTCTAGGTAATGATTAGCATCTTCCTCTTGTACATATCAGAAGGGATAGGATAAACTTACGCATCGCAAACCTCCTCCACGGTGATCTCCTTGATCTTTGCAATCGCATGTGCCACATGTGGTATCGTGGCTGGCTCATTCCGACCCTTGACCATCATACCCTTGGTGAACTTCTCCTTCTTGACCGCCTTGGGTAGTGGCGGTGCGTCTTGCAGATACTTGGCTGATGCATGACTAGGTCGCATTTCGCACCATGGGCCATCCGTCTCGATCTGCAGACGGTCAAGTGGTATTTGCTTGACGACTTCGATGTTCTCATCGGCTAGAAAGCCAAGTCAGCCAAACATGCGGTCGCGGCGAGCTCAAAAAGACTCACTCTTCATGCTGCACCCGTTAACCCCGATATCAAACCCCAAACCAACAAGCCGTTTCATCTCCTCTGCCGTTCCAGTAAAACTATGCACCAGCCCTCGTTTCGGCAACTTCTCCAATTTCGCCGTGAGAATCTTCTCAAAGTCCTCACTCGCAGCCCGTGAATGCAGGAAGAGTGGTAGCTGTACGTCAATCGCGATGTCCAACTGTGCCTCAAAGTACTTCAACTGTGGCTCCTTCGCCGTCAAGAACAGTCGATCGTAATCAAGTCCTATCTCGCCAAACGCCACCGCATGGCCCGCTTCTTTAGCCTCAAGCGCCAGACTCTTCAGCGCAGATAGCAGTTCAGATGGGCCTCCAGGATGCGTATCGAAGTGTTTTGCGGAGCATGGATGTACACCGACGGTTGCGTAGCATTGTCCTGGGTGCGCTTTGGCGATTTCAACGGCGTGTTTGGATTCAGAGAGGTCGGAACCTGTTACCATGAACTTTTTGCAGCCGGCATCTACGGCGCGTTGGATCACGTCTTCAAAGTCATCTTCGTGCCGTTTGGTGCCGTGGTATTCTCCTCGGTAGATGGGGTCTGTGAAGTTGATGCCGATCTGGGGTGGGTTAGTGGTGGATGAGGTGCGGTGGGGGATGCGGACCGACATCGATGTATTTGAGTTGATTGGCTTCTGTTGCCATGTTGGGTATATTTAGTTTTGAATTCCCGCTGAATGGTCTTATGGCTAGGATATGTATTAGTACGGAATATATAAGTTGAGATGTTCTCTTTCAAGACGGAAAACGTGATGACGCACTTGCAAAATTGCTAGACAGAGCTCCGATGGGGCTGAAAGGGCGCAGATTAAGAGCCGGATAGATTTTGAGGCTGGAATTGCAGAGCCTCAGAGTTCGAGAGGACCTCAGAAACATCGATGACACTGATGGTGGGAATCTATTCGTTGGATTGATCGTTGTTGCCTCAAAGTGACTCTGACTAAGCCGCTTCAAGCCTAGTTTCAATGCTGGCATCTCTCGCACAGCCACCCTTCATCACAACTACTAACCTCTACGCCCTTTTTCGTCACTACAAACCAAGACTGCATCAAGCATTCATATCACTCGGTTGATTTCTGGAGTAATATAGACCTTAGAGTAACCTGGAGACTAGTCTGTTGCTGTTTTACTGCATTCTGCGTCATCTTAGATACCTAGGTACTTTGCGCACTCGCGCGCTTCTGTTGCCGACGTAGACAACAACCGCGAAAACAATTTGGAATCTCGATGGAGAATCTGTGGCATCTTCGCCGTGTGGCGGACAACGCCGCAAAGGCTTGCTGGATCTGCTACAAGCCATCTACCAGTGTTCTGATTACTCCTACCAACAAGGTGCGAAACGACGAATGGTAGGCTGTACTTCAACCATACTGATTTATTTGAAGGACTTCTTTTACATATGTCCTGGACACTTGGTTGACCGTGGATTCTGTCAACCGGAAGCGGATGAAGCCAAACGAGTCGCAGACCAGAAGAAGCAAGAAGAGCTGGATCGTGAGATCGAAGCTGTGAAGAAAGAGTACGAGGAGAAGCAGAAGCTCAAGCGGGAAAAGCGAAAAGGGAAAGATAAGGAAAAAGACAAAGAGAAAGAGAAGGAGGCCAAAGGCAAAGAAGCAGAGGAGGACAAGCAGGATGAGAAAGCCAAAGACGACAAAGCATGTGATGTGCACCTTCACATCATCACTGTGCTAACTCTCTATGCAGATCAAGGAGCTCTCCAAAACCAAGGATCAAGCCCAGGCTGAACTTGGCCCGCGCATATACCAACTCAACAAGTGGGGCCGCATTTACACACTCCTTGCTCCAGCTACATACTGACCCTGCACAGGAACTTCTATCAAATGCGTCTAGACAAGCTGCGGAATGCTGAGATTGCCAAACGGAATCGCGAACGACTGAACAACCCTGCAAACTTTCCGTCCGTGCCTAGCGGAAATCCTTAGACGCAGAGCGCGTCCTAATATCGACAATGGTCAATGTCACAGACCAGTCGTTGCTCCCGTCACCTTGGAGGAATTCATACCCGCATTTCGCCCGGCAGCAGGCAGGATCGGCTTATGCGAACAGCGATGGACCCCACGGCCGCCGGCCTTAGATCCTTCGAAGACGATGCAGTCAGCTTTTAGCGGCCGGTTCAAAGGCCATGCTTACCGAATGTCATACGTGTCACGCATATCATCTGTTTATAGTTACGGTCAAACCAGATCTTTCGCCCTTCGGTACTTTCCGCCTAGGGACGTTAATCGCTACCAGTGTGACGGGAATAGTCGGATACATTCATCCGTTCGACAGGTGCTACTTTCAGTCAACAACGCTCACACACTGCAGATGTACTCGCAGGATCTAGCCTGTCACACTTCGCTTGTGCAGACATCGTGCGGAAGTGGCTTGGGAGCCTGTAAGACGGCAGTAACTCCTATACCGATCTAAGCTGTCTTCATGCAAGTTTTTATATCTGGTCTTGGCTACTCCCCGTTGAAGTGGGGTTCTAGTTCGCTGCATTCATCGTCAAAGTTTTGGGGCCAGATAATAACTTGTGGCTCTCGGATTTGGTGCGCTCATGATGAGGAGGCAATGATCAGCTCACTCAGCTGTCCCGTTCCAGCCGTACACGAACCCACATGCTGTGTCATGACCCTTCATCTATGCCAGAGTTGCTTATCAGTACGTTCAGCAAGTCGTGGTACCCCGAGATCTTGGTATAACAACCAACGTTGTGTATCCAATCACTTCCGAGACCGGCACGCGTCGTGACAGGTACAAATCCTCGCTACGCAAGCCTAAACAAGGACAAGCTATACTGTAATCGAACGATCTACAGTCAATCCGACAGTAATGGCACTGTGACCGATCTCTATGGGGCAGAGAGGAAGTGACAAGGGCACACAGCTCGTTGTTACCACGCAATGGCGCACCCCGCCTGTTCACCCTTTCGCTTATACCATTTGTCACCACATCGCGTCTACTGAGTCATCTCATATCTGCGCGGGTGGTGACACGATAGGAGTCTTGGCGATGTGCTATCTCAGGAAGGATGCCCTTCTCAACGACACCCGCCGTGCCAAGCATCGCAACGGCTTGGCCACTTGGGTGTGTATGCAATGAGGAACATTGCTCAAAAGTACGCCGTTTCGAGTATGATACTATACAGCAGTCAAGAGCCATGCGTTGTCTCCAACTTCTCCAACTCCCGGAAGCGCTGATGCTATCCAGCGCTTGGCACTGCATGCCATCTACGCTCCGCCGCTACGCAATGCAGTCTATCCAGTCCTACATTATCTCCTCAAACGCTCACCCGTTCATGTCT